TCTCTTGTGTGTTGCACCATGTGGCATGAGGGAGGCGATGTGCGAACGAGAGATCTGGTGTAGTGTCCTTGCAGACACTATTCCCTATGCGTGTCGGAAAGGCAGAATCGGTGAGCAGTGAGAGGCCGGCTTGCTGCGCTGCTAACCACACCCGACGTCCTTTTGGTGTGTCGCGCGGATAACCCCAGGCTGTATGTGGGGCATTGAAATCTCCCACGACGAGTAGGGGGCACTTATTGGCTATGCGTTTCGCGAGCGTAAAGAGGCGCTGGAAGTTGCCCTGTAAGCATTTAGGGCTGCTGTATACATTCAGGATGAAGAGGCTTTTAGCTCTGGCATGTTGCGGCACAAGCTCAATTAAGAGGTGATCAATGTCTTGGACTGCTAAACAGTGGGAGATGGTGGTGATTGAGCGATTAATTAGAAACGCCACCCGAGAGGGTGTAGGGGATGTGGGTGTAATAGAAGTATAGCCGGGTAAGGTTAGGGGGTTGGAGGGTTCTTGTAGGGCAAGGATATCGGGTCCCGCAGCGCAAGATAGCAGTTGGTGGACAACATGACGCTTCTGGCCAAAACCTCGGCAGTTCCACTGCCAGAGTGTCAGATTACGGTTTAGAGCTGCCATCATGAGAATTAAGAAGGGGCGTAGCCGCCGCGCAAGGTTGGGAGTCGTTAGTGACGTCAGGGAGTGGATTGTCTTGCCCTTCAGTTGTTTTGGGCTTCTTGCGTTTACTTGGGGTGAGATCCCGTTTTGCAAGGCATGTTGCGAACAAATTGAGCTGTGATTCAAGATTGTTGTAGCGGTCAGTTAATGTTTGAGCTAAAGCATCAAGACGATGATTAAGTGCTGCATTGTCTGTTGTTACACGGATTACCGCATCTTGGAGCGTTGTGCATTCCTGATTGATGCTGGTGATACCTTCCTGCAATTTTGCCTCAAAACGAGCAGTAAAAGACTCAAGCATGGTTGGAATATCGGCTAGTGAGCTGTGTGTTGAGGGACGCGGGGTAATGTCCTGATTTGTGTGCCGAGGAAATGCCGTGTCGATATCTAACTCAAGCGAATCAGAGCAGGATGTCGCGTTGACATGGCTGGGTGGGAAAGACATGCTAGAGGTGTTGGGTGGGTTGTGCGCAGGAGTTTGGGATGTAGTAGGAGTTGGGGTAGGTGGAGTGGCATGGCTTGTGGCGAGAGTACTTATCTGGGTCTCCAGCTTCGCGATGTGTTCTCGAAGGGCAGCGGCTTCAGCTCGGGCTGCTTGAGCTTCTGCTTTGGCTGCCGCTGCCTCCTCCCGAGACTTGGCCAGAGCGTCTTGCAGACTGGAAGTCACTGTTGATGATAGTGCGTTCTTGCAGGGCGAACGGGGAGGGCCCCAATCTTGTTTAAGCGGCTCGGTCCAGGCTTGCTTGGGTTGGCTGAGTTGGCTGGGCTGAGTGGGTCCCGCTGACAACTGGGGGAAGTTGTCCCCGTGTGGAACCGGTTCTTGTCGCTGCGTTTGAGGTTGCTTTGTCGTTTTGCGTGGCTGGTGAAGGTTGCGTCCTTTGCATGAACCAGTGCCGGTAAGATGAGGGCCCTCGCACAGAATGCACTTAGGCGTGCAAGGAGGTTCCTGGGGTGAGTGTTGGCTGCCACAGCGTGGGCAAAGATTAGTCTTGGGGCTTGGGCATACGTCGTGACGATGGCCCGGTAGTCTGCAGTTCGTACAAGCATCCGGACTTCCGCGGTATGGAGTACAGCGGTGAATGGCTCCCATGTATTTAATGGAATGTGGCACCTCATTGGCGTCGAAGGTGATGAGAATGGAGTGCGTCTTCCCCATTCGTCGGGCTGCGAGTATAGAGTATTCAGGATTCCGTTTGACCAGGTCTTCGTACAGCTGGGTTGGCGTCTCGTCGTCAAAGGCGTTTGAGATGACCCCTCTTGTAGCTCCTGGTGGGGGTGCCACGTAAGCCATGCAGGGGTAAGCATGACCACCAATGGTGAGTGAAGTCAGCGTCTTTAGGAGCTCGGCTGCGGCGGAGTGTGTTGTAGCTGCCGTGAATGTATTATTAGTGGGGTGTATGCGCAGGCAGAAATCATCGGGCAGAGTGGTTTGAAGTGCGGCCTGCACTGCCTTCATGAGTCGAGGCGTTGGGACATCTAGGAGTCGCAGTTGACCTCGCGGACGAACAACGACGCGAATAGCGTTCGGTGGGAGTGGCGGCAGTTGCTTGCTGCGTTTTACAATGATGCGCGTCTCCTTGGTAGCAGGTGGTAGGTGGGTTGGCGTCTTGCCTCTTCCAGTTGCAGCTGCTTCGACGCGCATGGCGTTCGGGTTGGTCTCCTTGACGGTAGCGTTGGGTTGCGAAAGTGGTTTCTGTGAACAGGCTGGTCGAGACGCATAGGCTTTGTAGAGAACTGGTGTCCAATTGCCTGCCTGGAGCTCTTCAGCGGAGATGGTGTGGCCCTCAACCGTTACTTCCATAATAACGGGAGGCGTTGCTGCCAGTGTCGACGAAGGAGCGGGGTCTCAGAGAGGCTTAGCTCGGATGCTCAGCGTCTCGGTTCACTAATTGTTGCACACAGAACGTCGGAGCTTGCCCGGAATGGGCGTCGTCTCTGTCTTCCTCAGACCCTTATGTCGCTGTTTGAACAGGCTAGTGACCGCAGGAAAGGTTGGTAAAGAGTAGCACGTACCGTTTGCCGGAGCCGACGTTGCAGGCATCCGCTCACGTTGGCCCCCTAGCGGCCCTTTCTCGCTGTGCCCAGCGTGCGCGCTTCAACGCTACATTGGAGTATATTGGGCCCTTCATGATGCTCTCGCGGCCGTTTTACTAGCTTCACAGATGCCAAGTTTGTTATAACGGAGCGTGAATGGACGACGAAGGTATATGGCGGGTGCAAATATGATAATCCTGAGACAAGTGTCATGCTAGAACATGACAACACACCACGCTCATAGCGTGCCCATGGCCGTTTCGCTAGCTCCACATATACTAAATTTGGCACCGCGTGACGGGAATAGTTGACGAAGGTGAACGACACATCCAAACATAATATTCATAACACGGAAGTCATGTACGGCATAATTTACCTCAACCTCGTAACGTTGTGGTGATTTGAAAGTGACATATCAATCTTCCTCATTCGTGCTTCACATATCATCGATTCCCACTTTACGCGGGATCTGCCATTTTTTTTAAATCTAGATGAACGATTGGAAGAATCAGCCAAGCTCAATAAATCTACGAAATATGCATCGCGGAATCGCGGTCCAGTTCTATTAAAGAGGTCTCAATGAACTTATACGCATGATATTAAGTGTATTATGATTATAATCTTGCCAGCTGGCGGCATCTCCACCAGATGAAGAAAGCTAAGTCAATTAGCTAAATATAGTATGATATTTTAAGTTCTGAAAACTAAGAGCTTCTTAACTGATATGTTATCGGCAGTGCAAAAGTAACACGAAGTAATATATCTGTAAGTCATAATGCACGATTATTCAATCGGCATGAACAGTATACATTTTTAGGTATCCAAGTACATACATACATACATACATACATACATACATACATACATACATACATACATACATACATACATACATACATACATACATACATACATACATACATACATACATACATACATACATACATACATACATACATACATACATACATACATACATACGTATACGCTATTTTCAAAGTTGTTCAATAAATATTACATGCTACTTCAACACCTCGAATTTCAAAGACTGCTCGTGCCACGCAGCTCATAACCAGAAAGAAATTATCTTAAGTAACCACGAAGCCATAACAAAAGCAACACCAGTAAACATGAAAGTCATATTATTCATTTATATGGGTGAATAATCAAACCAAATATATTGTATTGATTTTGGAAGCTGAAACTTGAATTTAAGGAAATAAATTGAAGAAGGTGACACAATGAGCGTAATATGAGCACAGTGACGAAGCATTCGTATTGCATATTATGCAACCAAAGGATTTTGTATTGTAATACCCTCAGTTGGAGGCAGCAAGGTTTAACGTCTCGTCTTTTGGAGAGATTTCTCAGCAATTATGCAAAGCTGCAGGTTTTGTAAGAATAAATTGGGTATTCTGAAGCGAGTGGTGCGTTGTTATGCAAGCTTTCTAACGCCCTTGTGGGCAATCGCTGAACATGATTTCGTAGCAAAAACAAGTTGTACTAAATACCATCACACTGGTTATGGTACGCAATACCTTTGAGTAGAAAGCGTAGCTTGTAATTAGGCCTTTTTAAAGAAACCTGCCCAGCGATATGAGCTTTTATCATTACAGCTTCCTGTGAGGCAGGGTTTGTTAAAAAATTAATGAAAATGCCAGGCCTGCGTGGAAGGCGTTGCACAGTCACAGCGTAAGCTAGAAAAGCGGCCTTACAGGTACCCACTACGTCATTAAAAATCATAATTGCTGGGTAGTAGGCAGTCAGTCACCACGCTATGCTTCGTTACTCTTCTTGGAAGCGTGGTATCCGCTAAACACTTGCAAGGAATTTTGTGCCGATTTTTCATGCTGCGGCTGAGGACGATAAAGAATAATGCCTGAAGTGCGTATGTGCCACAGTTAATAGGTTATCAAGAACAAGCTTTTGTAATGTGTTGGAGCATTGAACGACCCACTGAGCACGCCATTCGCATTCTGTGACACGTGGTTGTTTCTTTCCTGTTCTGAAACGCTTTATTACTCATAATAACGAAATTACTCATAATAACGCATAATAACGCAATAACGCAATGTGCAATGCAGAAGATGCAGCACCTTTTACAACAAAACACGATTGAAATGGTAATTTCCCCTCAAGTGACTGAAAATATATCAGAATGTTTTAGACAAATCTTCAGTCCAGTTTTATATCATGACTTCTTTTAACAACAGTGAACTTATGCGACATCACGCGGAATATGGATTTTGCCATTGTCACTTGAAATACGTGAGTGCAACCAGGTATGTTTTCTTTTTGCCTCTAAACAGGATGGTGACCCAGCGTGGTGTCGTGCTCTCCTCGGTTGCCTTGGTGACCCTGTCTCTGGTGTCGATGTCCAGTGCACTGGCGATCCTTGCATGCCCGCCCGTGGATGACAGGAACGATGATGCCACTTTGTTTGCCAACCCGCTGAACTGTTCCACTTTCTTCCTGTGCCAACAGGTACAATTTTGTCGGCTCGGGTAAATCAATACAGCTATCCCGCACAATACAATGTTTAATGGTAAATACAAAACAGGTTACTTAGAAATTTAAACTAAACCATGTTTTCGGGCCCTTAGGAGCACCTTGTTGCAGTGGAATGTCCGCTAAGTCATACAGGATATTTAGCGTTGCGCATGGGACAGAAACTTCGCAAGTGTGCGTCATTCATCGTGTGAATTCACGGCGTCTTTATGAATACCCAAATACGGATACCTCACCATAATAAATTATGGGGCTAGTACCCTCATGTTGTGCTGCAGATGGTGGAAAATCGGGATGAATGTCAACAAAAATCGCGTGAAAACGCATAAACGTGCTGTAGCAAAAGAAGTTATATTATAAGATTATTCGCCCCATTTGTGATGGCCCACCTGTTTGTACTGTAGGCGAAGAAATATTTAAGTTCAAATAAATATTGCTGCATGTATATGCTCTTTTCTACTATATTCGTATTTTCGCCTTGTGGTGGCTTAGCAGACATAGAAAAACCCATTCAAAGGGTGTAAAATGCTTTGCTATATATGCAAGGTCTTTCTGAGCTTTACAACATTGACTATATGAGAAGCGCATGACTACTGAATCCAGAGATACTCCATGACACCTAAACTTCTTCGTCACTATCGTTGCTAGGAAGGATGACGCAGGTTTCCACGCGAAGACTGTCGTAGTATTTAATCTGGTGACAATCTAAAGAACTCATTTAGGGCAGGGTTAAAAGCTCCAACTCACCGAACCCAATGTTTAATAGTAGTTCTTAAGTCGTAGGTCAATATTTCGCTATTGTATTTAATGACGCGCCATCCAGGGCATATAAATCCTAAGGATTTGCTTCTCCGCTTCACCCAGGGAATTCCTGTCTTAATGGAGTGCCCGGACAATCTACACTTTAACGATGACCTCAAGGTCTGCGACTATCCTGTGCGAGCCAATTGTGTTCAGCGTCTGCCAACGTTTCCTCCTGTCCCTCAAGAGCCAACAGAAGTCGCCACTGAAAAGGTTTTGGTTGTGAAAGAGGTCAAAGAGGTGGTGCAGCCAGTACCTGATGGTGAAACTTCGGTCATTACAAATGAAGAGCGCACAGAAGCTGCAACTGAGAAGGTTGTTCTCACGGAAGAGATCAAAGAAGTGGTTCGGCCAGTGCCCGAAGACGAAACTGCGGTGATTATCAATGAAGAACCAACCGAAGCTGCCACTGAGAAGGTTGTGCTCACAAAAGAGGTCAAAGAAGTGGTCCGGCCAGTGCCTGAAGACGACACTGCGGCGATTATCAATGAAGAGCCAAGCGAAGCTGCCACTGAGAAGGTTGTTCTCACAGAGGAGGTCAAAGAAGTGGTCCGGCCAGTGCCTGAAGACGAAACTGCGGTGATTATCAATGAAGAGCCAAGCGAAGCTGCCACTGAGAAGGTTGTTCTCACAGAGGAGGTCAAAGAAGTGGTCCGGCCAGTGCCTGAAGACGAAACTGCGGTGATTATCAATGAAGAGCCAAGCGAAGCTGCCACTGAGAAGGTTGTTCTCACGGAAGAGGTCAAAGAAGTGGTTCGGCCAATGCCCGAAGACGAAACTGCGGTGATTATAAATGAAGAACCAACCGAAGCTGCCACTGAGAAGGTTGTGCTCACACAAGAGGTCAAAGAAGTGGTCCGGCCAGTGCCTGAAGACGAATCTGTGGTGATTATCAATGAAGAACCAAGCGAAGCTGCCACTGAGAAGGTTGTTCTCACGGAAGAAGTCAAAGAAGTGGTCCGGCCAGTACCTGAAGACGAAACTGCGGTGATTATCAATGAAGAGCCAAGCGAAGCTGCCACTGAGAAGGTTGTTCTCACAGAGGAGGTCAAAGAAGTGGTCCGGCCAGTGCCTGAAGACGAAACTGCGGTGATTATCAATGAAGAGCCAAGCGAAGCTGCCACTGAGAAAGTTGTTCTCACAGAGGAGGTCAAGGAAGTGGTCCGGCCAGTGCCTGAAGACGAAACTGCGGTGATTATCAATGAAGAACCAACCGAAGCCGCCACTGAGAAGGTTGTGATCACACAAGAGGTCAAAGAAGTGGTCCGGCCAGTGCCTGAAGACGAATCTGTGGTGATTATCAATGAAGAACCAAGCGAAGCTGCCACTGAGAAGGTTGTTCTCACGGAAGAAGTCAAAGAAGTGGTCCGGCCAGTACCTGAAGACGAAACTCCGGTGGCTACCAATGAATAGTCAACAACTGAAAACTAAGCACCAGCTGTCTTTCTTGAATCTGAGGGTGACGCACAAGCTCTGATCAAACACACTGTCATCGAAGGTATCGCTAGCATATTCGTCCACCCAGTTCAAGACACTTTCACAGAAGTCATCGAGAAATATAGCTTGTGAAGCGATGCTGACGACATGGGAAACGGCGATGACAAGTTCTGGCCCTATCACAGGAAATTTCGGAAATTTACTGACTGCTGGGACTCAAGAACAGGTGCGCATACAACAATCGATTCTTCGAACTCCCTAAATCTCTACCATATGTGGTCCAACCAAGTATTAACAATCACTTTTTCACGGTATTTCAAAGAATAAAGAAGTTTATAGATTGTAACACGCATTCAATGTGTTTTTTTAGGTATAGAATGGCCTACGTGGTTTCTTCACGCATGCTTGGGATGATATTAAGCAACAGCTTAGCGCGTAGCCTCACTAAAGCGTTTAAAAATAGAAGAAGTACGTATGACATACAAAAGCTTGTTTTAAAAATTACGTTTATGCATAACACGGGCACTTCGGTAAATCCAGGCTCGATAGCTAACCGGCTGGTGTGTCGGGTATCTATAAACCACATATTACAGCACATACTTGAACGACGTAATATTTCAGCACATACTAACTACTTATTGTGATGATCATCAGACACCACTCCTGCAAATCAAGAGGCGTGGAATGCAGACAACTCTGTAGTCATTGGGTCCCCAAAGTGCGAAGCGCATGGTTGAAAGTTACCCCTAAAGGCTTCGTGAGCCCCCTTTCGAGGGTCGTCGCGCTAGGAAGAGAGTAACACTTACAAATTGACTTCGCAACATGAAATTACTGAAACACCACCGACCACTGCCTTTGACGTCGATACACCATCTAATACGAACGGCGTAGTCCTGCCACGGGAAAGACGCCCACAGACGGAACAGTTGACCACACATCAGCTCACAGATGAAAATACTGCAAGTATGACGGTATGAATATCGTTATCATACGCTCGTTTTAAACGACGGAACATAATACCATGCGACCGCTTAAATGTTCTTTGATTTCGGCTATAAGTAACCAGATGCACAACGATGTCGACTGAAAGTCGATGACTGTGAAAGCCAGTCTTAACGTCTGGATATATTTCGTAGTGTTTCAGTGCTCTTTCAGGTATAGCAATTTTCGTTTGCTATGACAGTGGGTCGGTGTGAAATAATCTTTACAAAAGGCATGAATTGCTTATGAAGCAACTAGTAATAACCTTACTGTGTTACTAGGGTTCGTTGATGTTATTAGGCTAAGAAAACGACACAAGGCTCAGTTACCACAGTTACATGTTATAGAGTACAAAGGCAGTGCAAACGAACAAGTGTGGGTTGGAATTGTCCATTTATAATACTAAAGAAATCTTCCGCCGCATCTGCATCATGCCAGTGAAGCCAAACAGCACACAAAAACATGGCCATGCGAACCAAGCACAATTAAAACAAGCACGATAACCAAGCAACATGTTTGGATTCGTAGTCATGATTTGTTGGCGGGTCTTTGACTTCAGTATAAATAACTATCCTACTCAATTGCATTACTAAGTCATCTTAGGGTTCAATAAGTACTAAAGCCTAATAAGCCAATCGCTATTCGTGAAGAGAACATTGTTCCCGAACTGTTTTAATGGTGAAGTTGTTCGAGCTAGCCTCAATTTATGTGTCCGGCAGGTATGTGTCATGTGGCCAACGCGAAAACTATCATGAATGGGTGTGCGCCACAGTAATTTGGTACATTCCACTACTCTCGCCTGGTTAACTAAAATTAAACAGAAGTAAACTATCACCATCAAATAGTAATGTGGCACTGTGAGGCCAATTAGAAAACAATCATTGGAGACGGGTATGCAGCGCAGAAATCGAGTCAGTTCCAACACTTCCCACTTGTCCACTGTATCAAGCAGGCAACATTTAGCCCAATATATGAATGCGAAACGACGGCGGCCGGCCGAGTCCACGAATACGTACAACGAGACAACACTAGAAAAACAGGAAAGGCGACGACGGCTGAAACAATACCACAAAGCAATGGAAGGCATAGGGCAACGACGACGCGCCCATATATTTATGGCATGTGCGAACCCTTGATCTCCACGAGAGTTTCTGCGTCTTGGGTTTCGACAACCCTGTGTCTAAAGCTTCGACGACCCTTCCGAAACGACCCCCCTCATGTTACTTGTAACGAATGCGAAAAACTCTTGGAATGTCTTAAGCAGTCATAAACAGAACATAATATCTCCAACTGACAGCAACGTTGCCCAAATTTCCAGTTCCGAGTGTTGTTTTGTGCTTAATAAAGTATTGTCTTAATCCTTCTGGTCATCAGATGCTTCATTTCTCTGAATTACTGAATATAACTTCCGCATTTTGGATCTATTGTTATTTTCGTAGTGTAAAAGCCTCCGGGAGCACAGGAAATGTACCGGTATGCATGATTGCGCCTAAAAAATAATTATACCAAGCTTTTAGAAGTCAAAAATCTAGATGGGAGCCGGTAGAGGGAAACAACGGGGTCAGATAATCAGGGTGAACAGTGGAAGGGCCAGAGACTGTCTGGCCGACGTTTCGATAGGAGGACCTACCTTTTTTCGAAGGCATAATCACGGTGAACATTGGAAGTGCCTCAGACTGGCTGGCCGACGTTTGGATAAAAGGACCTATCCTTTTCAAAGGCCTTTGAAAAAGATAGGTCCTCCTAACCAAACGTCTACCAGCCAGCCTGGACCACTTCCAATCTTCACTGTGATTGTCCCAATATGCTTTTAGAAGCTACTCTTGCTTTTTACTGTACCCTGACGTCACGACATGGAATGGGCAGCGCCACCAGACGGTAGTTTGTGCACACGCAAGTTTTCCTGACGTATTTTCATCCAAGAGTCGCTTCTTCGGTCGCCTGCTTCTTCTGCTGCGCGCCGTACCTGTGGCAACTGTCGTGCAAGGGGGAGGGGGGTGACACAACGTTTTTCGTCGACAATCCGAAGCCGGTGAGGAATCGCATGTTGCGCGTGTAGGCATCTGGAGTGAAGTGCAGCGAACAGAGTCAACTCCACTTTCTTGGCGTCGAGTAACTTGGCGTCGAGTAACTTTCTTGGCGTCGAGTAACGAAGCAACTTGGAGGCGGAATATCAACCGACACAGACGTATCAACACGCAAGCTTACCATCGCATGAAATGCCCTAGCCAGGTCGTGCACGCAAGCGGTGTTGTGTCTATTCAACGTTCTCTCTATTATGGTGTCTGTTTCTGGGGGACGGATCCCTCATTGCACAGACGATTTGAGAAGCTGTCATGAATCATGTGTCTTTACCATGATACACAGCATCGCACCGCTGGAACTGCTCTAAAAGATGATGCGCCGAAAACACGCCAAGCGATGTGCGTGATGGCACCAACGCAATTGAAAATGGAGGCAGCTTGGTCTCGCATCTTTCTCGATACGAAGTTCAGACTGACAAATAACGCGCACATATTCCGTTTAGGTGTTTTAATGCTTCTGCCAACTTTCATGCTTCTATTCAGGCAACAGATTGCAAAACTTAAACACGTAACCTCGAATGATTCTCTCAGTGTCACGTACTACTTTGATGTGCGCAGGACCATTCCTTGTATACGTCACCTCCACCATGTAGGTGCCCGCGCCCATGAGAGAAATGTCAAGTGGCGTTCAGTCTGAAATGTTACCTCTTTCCGGGGCGCGTAGTAATGAAACCTTCGCAGACGAGATTGTGAGCACCGAGTGCATACATTCCTTTTGCCTGCTCGAAATTTTGAAACCTAGTAAAGGGTCATGCAAGGTGTTCACAGACAGAAGAAAAATTGACCTTTTGTGGTTCAACCAGGTTGATATGAGGCCAAAAGACCCTTTTGACTAATTAGCACTACGGCTGCGTGCTCCTGTGTTGCTCTACTGAGCCATGCCGAAAAGGATGAGAGCCAGAAGCACTTTTTGTTCGACGATGAACACCTATCTAACCATGCTGGAGAAGAAAAGGGGACACCGTATTCTGCAAACCTGTGCGGGAGAATAATTGCAAGGCTATGCAAAAGCATTGGCGTTTTCGTATTATCATAAAATAAACATTTCTGTTTTATTTCCTGTCGCAAACAGAGATCCTACACGTATATTGTCGAAATGTTAATTCTGTCAAATTTAGTGTGCCTATATTTACTATTTTGAGGGACTAGAACAGTCTTTGCCCACCTTTTTATAGCGTCGAACACCCGTTTTTTAATGCGCATAAACTCGGCCTCTTCTAATAACGATTTATATTTGCTGCGTGTCCATAAATGGACACTGAACTTGTCTCGGGGTTCATTGTGGTCACGTTAAGTTGACAATGCTATAATTGTGCGAATAGTCTTACGTGACTCTTGAGTGATTCTGAAACATATCGTGCAGTATGTACCAAACTAACGGTATACAAGTTCTTAATGCTAAAAGCTTAGTACTTCGAAAACGTTTTTCTGGTGCTTGAATCATTGTCTAGGTTGCTACGCAGCGAAAATTCTTCTGTAGCATTAGGCACTCATTGTCCAATGCTTGACTATGACAATATAACAAAGCCTGTTGGCTGAAATGCTTTATTTTAACAATATTTTGTCAAATGGTTTTAAGGGCAGGTTTTTCAGGCATTCGAGCCCGAGTGTTGTGAAAGAAGCAATAATGAAGTACTCAACACAGCTCAGTCCACCATATTTGTAATTTCGCTGGATATTTTGACACAGTGTCCTCCTCATCATATGTTCGTCCACAATGAAGAAACATCAGAAACAATGCAGGAACGTCAAAAAGCATAGTACATGGATCACGCACGACATATTTTATACGGAGCGTAAATAAAGAGGCCCATAAAAGCTCAGAAAGTTCACCCACGCAGTAGTCTTGCGTCGGAAATTCCAGCATTGTCACGGTCCCCTAAGAGCAAAATGAATTTAGCGAAAAAACGTTTCCTCAGCCACTCATTACACGGTTTTATTGAAACAGCACCTCCAAAGTTCTGGCGATACATAAGTGTGAAGCATAATAAAAAAGCACGTCTGCCTACCCCGGGAGGAATGCAGACAGCCGATCTCTCAACAGCTACTTTCAGTCTGTTTTAAACGCTGATAATGGCATACTTCAATGCAGCCCGTTAATACCAAATCACGCAGGTACACAATTAGAAACCCCCTCATAACGCAGGGGGCTGCACTATTCATGTTGCTAAACATCGACGAAAAGAAAAGCACTGGTCTAGATGATGTTCCAGATGCCTTTTTAATGCGGTACGCTTAGCCTGTTAGCAAGTTCCTCCAGCTCATATATTTAGAGTCATTTCGCGTTCGTTATCTTCCAGCTGACAGGAAACTAGCAAAGTGCATACCTGTGCATAAATCAGGGGTTGAATTTTCCCCAGTTAACTACAGGCCTCTATCGCTGACATGTACACAACTTGCAAAATTCTGAAACAAATCATCTTGAAAAGTCACAACACATTACTCTCTAATCAGCATACGTTTTGTAGTGGCTTATCGACTTTTACTAAATTAGGGGAAACGCTTCATGTCCTTGCAAAGATGCTAACAGCTAACTAGAAATAGATGCAATCTTTATGAACTTCTCCAAAACTTTCCGTTTTGTTTTTCAGCTCAAGCTTGTTTATGAATTAAAATGTCTAATAACAGAAGGACCACTCACGCGTTGTATTGAAGATTATCTTTCAGAACGTTACCAGTATGTGCAGTACAATGACCATGTATCTGATACTGTTTCCTTTTTATCTGGTGTACCGCAAGGTTCAGTAATAGCCATATTGCTCTTTTTACTGTATACAAACTATATAACTAAGCACGTGGACGTAAACATTAGGCTATTTGCAGATGATTGCGTACTGTGCCACACAATAAAAACTGAAGATGACCAAACAAAACTTATATAGTAATTCTCCGTACGAAGCGGCTCAGTGGTGTTCAGAATTCAGAATTTAGAACTTCAGAAAAGACGGTCTATATGAACATTACAAACTTGAAATCAACATTTATATTTTCTTAGAGTATCAACAGTACCGTACTAGCAAACGTTTCACAGTACAAATATTTTGGTGTGGCGGTAAGCAGTCACCTAAGCTGGAATGCGCATGTGCAGCAAATTTCTAAAAAAAAAAGTAATGAATAAATTTTTCTTCCTCAAAATATCGCTTGTGGGTTCTACCTTTGAAACACGTTTGCTTGCCTACACTGGTCTAATCTGACCAACATTGGAATATGCAAGTGCTGCATGATTTTTGCTCACTAAACACAACATCGCTGCGCTTGAACGGGTACGCAGAAAAGCTGCCTGATTTATTTTCAATCGTTACATAGCAACTCCCCATCAGAACTTCTTGGGGTGGCTGGCCTCGCTACTTTGTCTGACCGAGCAAAAGCACACTAAATAAAATTCCTTTATTTATTACAGAATAGCTTTAAGACCAATGCCATGTAATTTGTTACATACTACTCTGAAAGAAAAACGTGACACAAACACAGATTCAAGTTAGAAGAATTTCATCGTGCTAACAATGTATTTCGCTTCTCCTTTTTTGCACGGTCAGTAAGATCGTGTGTGTGTGTGTGTGTGTGTGTGTGTGTGTGTTTAAATAACAGTCTTTGCAAAATCCCACCTACACACTCAGTTCACTTGGAATTGCTTGGCTATTTGACGATCCAGAACGTTTCGGCACCGAATGGCAGTCAGCGGAAAGCATTTTATTACGTGCTACAGCGGGGTATATTTACTATGCTCAAGTGCTTATGTGGACCAGTTTCACGCAGTTTTTGTTTTGTATACTTACTATTTTAAGGCGGCCAAATTTAAAAAGACACTATTTAAAACGAATATGTTGAAGTACCAGTTTCGAGAACAAAGCTGGATAACTAGAAGTGTTTCAGAAAATGAAATCAAAAAGTTGATAGTTTCTTTATTTATTTGTTGACATATATGGTCACCTTGCACAGCAAGGTATTGGAGAAATAGTTTTCAACTAGAACTGAAGCAACCAGGTGAAAATACGTCATAACAGTGCAAAACAAGGGGCGTACAAGATTTTTTTAAATATGCTTTGCATCTACGTGATCCAAAAAAGACTCGAGAAAAATATCTAAGTGCTCAGTACATTGCTTCTGTCATCCCAAAATGTTTCTGGCAGTCCCTTTTTGTGTACAAATTGTTCTCTTTAAAAAGCACTTGAAAAGACGCTTCCGGGTCAAAACGGTTGTGTCGTTCTCAATATGTCTTAAGGTCGTCGGGAAAAGAGCGAAGACAATTTTATCATTTGTGGAAGACGTTTTGACATTGAGTGCAGTCTGGGGAAATCGGTTTACGTTGCACCATTTATAGTCACCATCCTCGCAACCAGAAGCGCTGCTTCTCAGCTTACCGTTTATGGTGCTGCTAATATCCATGCTTCTCTTCGTACCATTACCCAATGCAAAAAAATCGTCCTATGAAACATATGAGACTGCTCAACATACGTGTCTCTGTGTATAACAGTTGCACCTATGCTTAGCGTCATTTTGTAACGCTTCCTTCGTATGTTTCGCATGACATCGATTCGCAAATATGTGAGATGTGCCGAATTTTTCAATGAAGGCCTTGCGCTGAGGCTGTATTTTTTGTAGCTTTTGATGTTGCTGTCGAAGTTTCCACTTTCGTGGTCCTACGCGTCGTCTGACGTGCTCCCTCTGTCTTCGCCACATTCCTCACTGAGAACCGCCTACACTTTTTATCAGCTATAGGCTGCTCGTTAGCCGCCGTAAAACAACACAAGCTGGCTGAAATTGCTGCCTGTTTCCCGAACCTCCAGGGCGTCGAGTGGGCAAGAACAGAGCCAGGGGGTCCTCCTTTATCTGCTGAATCCTCGTACAACGCCAACACGTTTATAGCTGCTCTCATCAGAGGTGACAAATAAGAGCAGATCCTGCTTCGAGCTGAGAAACATCCGCGCGGGACTTGGGGCGTAACCAGAAAACATGTGAGTGGTGCACAATGTTTAAGCGGTTTGTCTGGACACATCTCGTTTGCATAATGAGCAGCGCACTGGAGGGCAAAGGGCATCCGTCGTGCGTCCTTCTCCCTTGAGCGCCATTTTTGGAGAAATCATGTGCTCAATAATCAAATAGCCATTCTAAACTTTGTAGTCAGCGAGTGAAGTGGAAATTGTTATATTGTAATAGACCAAATTAATGTTTTTTTTAGAATTTGAAGCCGATATTCTTCTATAAGACCATGCCGCTGATATTCACTCTTTAAATCACATCTTGAACTGTGTTTGTGACTGCGAACAAAAAATTTCTCTCCTATGTCTCTTTGAAAAAATAATCTACCGAAATAATTCTCCGAAACAAGAACTGAGCTCAAAATATACATACATATTGTAACGTCTTTATCATCAGTATTGCTCTGTGTCGCACTAATGTTTTTTAAAACTCTTTTATAACAAACAACCGGTGGCCCTCTCGATTGTCTGCTTCGAGGGCGCGTCATCATTCAAGACTGCAGTCGCCGATTATACTTTGATCCTGCAAAAACGTTAGTGTTGTGCGAACATGTATTCTTAATGCCTTGTATATGCAAGCCCCGCCATGGTGGTCTCGTGGCTAAGGTACTCGGCTGCTGACCCGTAGGTCGCGGGATCGAATCCCGGCTAGGGCGCCTGCATTTCCGATGGAGGCGGAAATGTTGTAGGCCCGTGTGCTCAGATTTGGGTGCACGTTAAAAAACCTCAGGTGGTCGAAATTTTCGGTGCCCTCCACTACAGCGTCTCTCATAATCATATGGTGGTTTTGGGACGTTAAACACCACATATCAATCAATCAATACAAGTTCTGTTTTGCTGCTTTCTGTTTTTGTATAACCTGCTCTCTTCTTTAACGCCTTTATGCACCCTGGCGGTAAAGTAAATGAATAACTGCGTAAATAGATAAAAAAGAGAATTAATAGGCTCATTGCTGAGTAGAGGCTGTTGCACTGATAATGTACACAATTGTCGACAATTTGTGCAAATAGTAGCACCTAAAGCGTTATTTGACGCAGTACGCTGCTGCAGCGACACCATAAGCATTATTTCGTCTTGTTTGTCTTGCACCGCTTCTGCTGTCATATTTACCTGTGCACCTTTATAATTTTTTATGGAAGCCTCCAAGCGCGAATCTTGGCAGTCATAACTGCAAAACGTAACTCGTGGTTTTTCACAATTTTGCGTAAGTGTGAAAGTGAAAGATCTCAGTTGCCTCAAACACGTGTCGCAGCTGTTGGAGAGAATCATTGCGCTCCGTGGGTTATTTGCCCTTTCGCCTCATAACTTAATAACTCGCTTGAGCCGGTAACTTCATTCGCATGCTTCATACTTTATACTCGATATTATCCCTACGCTGGTTCGATTGAAAGGCCACCTCTCTAAGCACATATTACGAAGCGAATATAAAGAATCAATTTGTTTGACTATAATTGTTTCTTCAAACTTTGGTGCAATGTGTAAACTTATAGCCGAACGGTAATTCAAAGGCCTCGGTATGGTCTACCTTGAAAGGAAGTCATGTAGTCAGCAATCATACAGATCAATTAGCCGTATTATTGAATGATGCAGGTTTTTGGGCTATAAATAAATTTGTTTATTTAAAGTCAACGAAATAGCCTCTCTTGCACAGTAGAAACAAGTTCTTTGCTGTTGCGCTTATTCTTTCTTTAGCCTTGTTAAACGGGATCACGGCATGAAGGAAAATTCGCAGAAATAGCCACTTGTTTATGCATCCAAGTGAAGCCTTAAATTCCGATGGAGGTTATAAACATAAGAATTAAGGTGCTGGAGAAATAAACCCTCCTACTCGTAAATTAGTAAGAATTAATGGTCAGCCCTCTGATGTATAACAACTACGCTAACACCACTGCTGATAGCGATTACATGACGCCACTCTTTATACATACAACATACGACCCATTGTAAAGAACGAAAAAATGATACACTAGTAAGCATTACTTATCTCTTTCATAATAAACAATGCTTCAGCTTTCTCAACATTACACCTGGGAGGAGATAGCATACAACGTGTGCCGGTGTTCTTCGCAGCAAGATTTTTACTCGTCATGGCTTCACTGGTCCACCAACACACCTTCTCTTTGCAGATACGCTTAAAGTAGTGGTGTCTAAAAAAAAAGATAACTCCGGCGTGGGGATTCATGTTCGTGTGGTTTTACACCAAAAACTTGAGCGGCTTGGTGAATTTCGTCGGCAACTCTGAGGCTGCTGCTAAACCAACCGTAATGTTCTATGTGGTAGTGGCGGACCACTTTCTGGCAAACACATGCAGCGCAACAATAACATGCAGTAACAATATTTCGTAGCGTATGTGTTCTTTTGGTTGCAAAATAAAACCAACTACCGTTTCTGAGGAACGCTAATTGAACGACCCGCAGAGAAAAGGCAGGAAAGAGCATCTTGGCGAGAACGCGTTTCCGGGGTGCAACAAAAGCGAGAACAAGTTGTCCACTCTGTGGACCATACGGAGGGCATCCTTAACGTCAGCACGCCTTTACGACCTACAATACCACCCGTGAAAGATATCAGTGGTCATATTAGAAGAAGAGCTCTGCTGCGGTGGTCTAGTGGCTGAGGTACTCGGCTGCTGACCCGCAGGTCGCGGGATTCAATCTCGGCGGTGGTGGCTGCATTTTCGATGGAGGCGGAAATGATGTAGGCCCATGTGTTAAGATTTTGGTGCACGTTAAACAACCCCAGGTGGTCGAAATTTCCGGAGCCCTCCAATACGGTGTCTCTCATAACCATATGGTGGTTTCGGGACGTTAAACCCCACAAATCAATCAAATCAATCTGAAGTAATATATTACTTTGAGAGCTTAACAAACAGTTTGACGAGTGAATTCTGAGACTGACAGTACAGGCGTGCATATACTATAAACCATTGAAACGTCGCAGTAAGCTGTCGCAAATCATGTGAGCTCAAGCAGTTGGGTTGTGCGTACAATGAAACATGGAATTGTTATTCTGCACATATAATGTTTCATTGTCGTCGATAGGCAGATTGGGCGCCTTACCTAGCGAGTCTCAATCTTTGTGCGCATGTGTAGTTACACAATTAGAACATGCCTTCGTACATTTCTCTTCCAGGAGAAACGGCGTTTGCAGCGCCATCCTGCTGGCGATAAGCCTCGCCTTCTGCCCAACCACGAACGGACAGTATTTTCTCGGCTGTCCTCCCGTGGATGACGTCAACGACGCAGCCACGATACTGCCCAATCCTTTCAACTGCTCGACGTTTTACATTTGTGCGCAGGTAATTATTCAAACACCTTGAATCTCACCCACTTAATTAGTAGCAATATTTGTTTTGTTTTGTTTTTACGTGCCATAACTATGATATGGTTAGGAGACCCGTGGTAGTGGAGAACTGCGAGTGTTACGACTACCTGGGGCTCCACAACACCGAAATTTAGGTACATAAGCTTTAAGCATTTTGTTTTGTTCGAAAAGTGACTACCACCGCTGGGATACACTATCGTGACCTCACATAGTTAGCAGTGAAGCACTATAACTAGCTAACCACTGTAGAGGGTGCTGTAAATGACAACGACGCCACGAAAAACCAAGGCAGGCGTGAACGCTGAGGTTCAATCAGAGGGCGCAAGTTCATTCTCTACAGCTGCTCTTTTTATAAATCTCCCGAAATGATCATGCCTGTCTCTTAATATAACAACATATGGGGTTTTATGTATTGCAATCTTGATACGATTACGAAACCTGGTGCAGTGGAGGGCTCAAGATACTTTGACAGTGTAAGTGTCCTTCAACGTGAACTTACATCACCAATTACGCGCGTTTCAAACATTTCCCCTCTGTTATAATGCAACCTCAACGACTGCGATCTAAGCCGCAGCCTTCTGGTTAGCAGACGAAAGTAATTAGCTTTGAACATGAACATCATTTTCTTGTCAAATAAATGATGCCAGGTTCGCTGAAGCTCACTTCCATAGAGCTGGCTGTGCCATAGAGTTGGCGCTCTTTAGGAGAGAAGTGAAGCGTATGCTTCTCCGAAAAATATTTAGTGTGACCCTCTAAGGTGAGTGATACATCCAACTACTCTTTGAAAAAACAGAAAATGCGACTCTCTAAAGAGAGTTATGGATGTGAAAATGACATTTTAAGAATGAAGGGCCAAGTGATACGTCTTTTTTATAGCGCAGTACTATTATATTCTTGGTAATTACTCCTTCAGAAGCAAATGTAAAAGATTAACTATGTTCTTGTCATTTTCAAAACCGTGATAACACTTCACGTGATTTGTTACTTCATTAGGAATTTGTTATCTATTTTATTTTTGAATCGAATATATTGTGCGTATCCTCTTGCGAAATATCGATGCTTGTAACACCGATGAAAAAGCAGAGAACAGATTCATGCGGCCCAACTGTTCGTATATGGAGCATACCACAGCCGGACGTTACGATCCATAGAAGACATCGGCATCATCGAGCCATTACGTGATGCCCTATTATGTGACTGTTCTGAAATAGTCCTATACGATGCAAATCACTTAATAACAACTATCGCACGCCTCTATCCACATTTAGTTAACGAAGAAAGGTGGAAAGAATCGCTAACGTTTACATTAAGCTGTTTGTGCCTGGAATGACTCCGTCAAAGCAGCAAGTGAACAATGTAAACAAGGTGAATCAATGGCTTGCTCTGCTCCCCGAGCGACATTCTGTAAACAGTGAGGCAGCTGTTTATCCGAGGTCTGGCCGTACTGTAATAAAATCGTCTTTGCGTGTTCTTGTGACTATAGCACGGAGTTCTTGCTTGGGCTGCCGATCGATTGTTTTTGCTGAGGGTATTTCGATCATTTATTCGGCTCATAGTACGCAAAACGATCTAATACGGTACAGGATTGCTCTTGGGCTAGGTTGAGTGTTTGGTCAATCACCTGTGGCACATACCAGCACACCAGTGGCACATACCCACTCGTGGGTATGTGCCAACAGGAATGTGACATTATTCATGTTCTGACCAGCGCGTCATATTTGTCAAACCATCTTTCCCTGCAATGCTAATTTTGCCCCGCCGCGGCGGTCTAGTGGCTAAGGTACTCGGCTGCTGACCCGCAGGTCGTGGGTTCAAATACCGGCTGCGGCGGCTGCATTTCCGATGGAGGCGGAAATGTCGAGGCCCGTGTGCTCAGATTTGGGTGCACGTTAAAGAACCCCAGGTGGTCAAAATTTCCGGAGCCCTCCACTACGGCGTCTCTCATAATCATATGGTGGTTTTGGGACGTTAAACCCCACAAATCAATCAATCAATGCTAATTTTTGTTCACGCCAAGTAAAGGGGGGGGGGGGAGGAATCACGAGAACACCCAAACGTAAGTGGTCAGACAGACAGACAGACAGACAGACAGACAGACAGACAGACAGACAGACAGATGGACGGAGATAGATATAGATAGATAGATAGATAGATAGATAGATAGATAGATAGATAGATATAGATAGATATAGATAGATAGATAGATAGATAGATAGATAAACAGGTAGGTAGGTAGGTAGGTAGGTAGGTAGGTAGGTAGGTAGGTAGGTAGGTAGGTATGCTCAATGTCACCGAAGTTCGCTAAGAAATTCATCGCATTTGAAAACAACAGCATGAGAGAGGTTATTGATATAGGTACGAAACGACAATGGTCCCAGCACAGACCCCTGTGGTACACCGAACTTAACAGAGGAAACTGCGAAGGAATGATCGTTAGCAGTGAGATGTTGTGTTCTGTTTGAGAGAATAGCTTTGATCCAATTAAATAAGTTGGCGTCCATATTTCGTTTAGTTAGTTTGAAAAGAAGATATTCATGTGATACCGAGTGAAATACTTTGGTGAAATTGAGGAAAAATGCAGACTATATTGAAACTAAGATCAGTACCTATGAACACATTGTTAGTAAATGTTCTTACAGGAAGACACTTTTCTAAATCCAAGTTGGGAGTCATTAAAATAGGAATTGTCCTACAAAAATCCTACTAAGGGCGAGTTTATGGTGTGTCAATGATAATGCATGGAATGCTTCTTAATAAGATGCATCGATAGTTTTGAGCTAAATGAGCATCACTCTATTGAAAGATAGAGACCACATTCCCCACCTTCCAGTCATGAGGTAATACCGAACACCGTAAAGATTGTTGAAGAAGTTTCGCGAGAGTTATTCCGACTACACTCCGGTTATTTTTATTATGTTAGAGTTCACCACATCAGCACCAGAGGAAAAAAGTGCCGCCATATCCACGAAGTGAATGATGATGAGTGGGCGAAGCTCCGGAGGTAAACCTGGTAAACCATGAATCCTCTGTACATTTTGCCCACTCGATTTTATTACATCGCTCCCCCTAGCGTACGTCGCCGCACTAAATCGAACGATTGCCTTCAACCAATGACACGCGCCATATGTGACATCATTCCTATTTTATAAGATCTCGCGTCTTTCATCAACTACAAGTACCGCTTTCTAGTTTATAACGTCTTGCATCTTTTCATCATCAGCTACAAGTACCACCATCTAGTAAACACTACAAGAACTAAACGAGAGGTGGCTACATACAGCAGACGGTACCGCCATCTAGTGAACACTGCAAGAACTAAACTAGAGGTGGCTACATACAGGGGACGGTACCGCCATCTAGTGAACACTGCAAGAACTAAACTAGAGGTGGCTACATACAGGGGACGCACAGCCCACGCCCTAAGGAGCTTCGCCCCTAAAAGAATGTTTCAGATTATCAATGACCGTGGCAACACCAACCCAATCTATAACAATAAAATTCATAGGCAAAAGTTTTGGCCAGGTAACTATGGTAATAACGCAGTGGCCATTGTACAGAAGAAAAAAATTAATGCGTTATTTAAAACTGTAGATCATTGGCTGGGTAGGAGCATAGTGTTATCGCTATTATATAACAGTATGCGACGTTTTGTTGAACCACCGGCAATGCTCCAAAATATTCTAGGGTTAGTTTGAAATAGAGACGGCTTTTGCGAACTGAAATGCAGAGGTGAAGTTTTTATGAACTTGCTTATATGCTAGCTAGTGATCAATACTATTCGTTTGTTTTGCTCGACGGAACAATCTTTTCTTATTCTTTGACAGGTGCTTCAAAAAGGAGTTGAACCATGGTGTCTGGCAATAAAAAATAATTTTCCTCTTAGGAATATATCGCACGACCAGATAAACATTTTTCTCGGTTTACAGGGTCCAGCTTTCTTCAACAGAGTAATTATCAAAGTTGCTTAAATGGCCCTCTGTAAACAATTCTAATTCAACTGTTATTGGTCTTCTATCAGCTATATAAACTCTTATATTAATCTATATTTTTTCGTATTTTCGTACCGTGTTTTGGGGGCAAAGTGAACAAGTGAATGATCACTCAATTCTGGGAGGTAAGTTACCTGAGAACCCAACTCTAGAAATGTAGTACATATTAGGTCAAGAATACTGGAAGACGTTGCAGTTGTACGAGTTGGTTCATGAACAAGTCGAGTAACAATACAGTGATCACAAATAGTAAGGAATTGTGTACATTGAAGAATACAATTTTTGTGCCATTGAAATCTTTACACCATAAAATTGTGCGAATGTTGAAAGCACCTAAAATGAGTACTGGTGTTTTAAAAAACCGAACTACAAGACCATAAAGAACAGCGTAGAAGTCATCACAAAAAGAAAGTGAGGCACCCGGGGGACGGTATAAAGCACAGAAGATAAATTCACTACTTACAATAGATACGTGTACACAAACAAATTCTAAAGGCGCTACAATACGAATAGTTGAGGACGCGAGCATATCAGAAACAGCAATGAGCATGGCACCCCATGAACCGACATGACGGTGCCAGTTATATATATTATAATTCTTTTCACATTGAAGTATTTCAGTGTCCTTGATTTTGGTGGAGAGCTAGGGCTCAGTTATCACAGCTATATCAGCAGAGCAAGAATCGATGACCGATGATAACGTGGCATGTTTGTTAAGAAGCTTCTCGAATTTGTAAAGAGTAGTGATACATCGCTTTCTTGATTCTTAAGTTACTCCATCATTGCTTCGAGCGTGCGCCTTAGCGGCTTGTTGTATTTCATACATTGAGACGGTGAGTGTGCAATAAGCGTACGATTTATTATTGATGATCAGTCTGTTACATCGCAGTGAACCGGACGGGCCCTTTGACTTCATAAATTCAATTAATTTCTTACGTGGCTGGCGGGTCGATCTACAGAAATCTGACCCGGAAGGTATGCGAGAAGCTTTGATTTTACTTCCCTGTGAAAGCATCACGTCTTTATGCTTCGTCGAAAAAAGCTTAACAATAATAAGCTGGAATTTGCCGGCAATAAAACTGCCGAGTCTCTGTGCACTGGAAATATCGCCATTCGATAATTGAAAGTTAAGCTGTTTTGTGAGCGATTCGTGCACACAGCTTCCAGAGTGGAACCACGTTTCATCTGAGGTGTCAGGGATGCTGTAAAACAAAAGATTGTCGCTCCTGGTACGGTATTCTAAATAATCCAAACGGGGCTACACTAATACGTTCTTTCTTTTAACGGCTTGTCACCCTATGCTCAAGATTTTCGTATCACATCTATTGCCTTTAATATTTTCAACGGTTGCTTAAAGAGCAGTTAGCCGATTTATCACGCCGATAACTTTGTGTGCTAGAGCTTTTTGATTGTCTTTCAGTTCACGGAAAGCATCTATTAGTTCCTCGTGGCATGTGCCACCATTTTAAAAGAGGACGGCATTAGCAATTAGTACTTCACTATCACGTGGACCGGAATTCATTTTAACGTCACCACAGGGCATAAGTTGCTTTGTAACAAGTACACAATCACCTACTGGTAAGACCAATACAGTTGCGCACGGGAGAAGTAGCAAGCGAGTATTATTCATACGCTTAGAGTGAAGCGTTCAGCTAATACTAACCTGAACAAAGTAGAAAAATTAATTTCTGAGCGACGAGTGCATGGCTGTCGCTTTCCCTTGCCCACTGAAGACTGGTCGTTGAAGTGTGGTTTTTATACTGTCGCATAAGAGCCAAGGTATATACAACTGGTAGCGAACGCTCCACAGAAGCTCATACGTTCAGAAAATGGCGGCTGATCAGCTGCTCATGGGGTTTAGCGCCATCTCTGTGAGGAGGGAACACTTCCGACCGAACAAAAATATAAAGCACATGTGATGCTATAGCTAATATACAAGTGGCGTCATTTTGTGTCCACTAGCGCCAAGTTTGATCTATAATTACTTTTCATAGGCCCCTAATTGCTAAGGACTCGCACTGAAGCGATCACCGGTGAGCCCTTCACAAGTGCGCTTTAAGTCAACGCCAGATAACTCATAACTAGATAATATAGTTTAAAGATGTTTAACCATATGATAATGAGAGACGCCGTAGTGGAGGGCTCCGTAAATTTGGACCACCTAGGGTTCTTTAACGTGCACCCAAGTCTGAGCACATGGACCTACAACATTTCCGCCTCCATCGGAATTGCAGCTGCCGCAGCCGGGATTCAATCTCGCGAACTGCGGGTCAGCAGCCGAGTAACTTAGCGATTAGACATCTGTGGTGGGGGGCCAAGAGACTGAGGAAGCCACGGATCAAGTATCATGGAAAGCTGCACATAGTAGAAAAAGAGATTCATGAGCGATGATTGCATGGCTGCCGCTCTTGCATGAGCGACTATACGTCAGACGGGGTTGGATACATAGCATTTTGGAAGAGGTGCATTGCCACTGCCTGCTCCATGGTAAGTGCGTGGGAGAAAACGGGCCCTCCCCAGAGTATTGACAATTTATCTCTAGCTAACCATCCCGTCTCCTCCCAGCCTCAGCCAGATGGTTCGCCTTGTGAGTCCTCGAGACATGCTGTTCGCTGCCTCCTTGTCAGGGAAAGCAGTGCGCAAGCGCCCAGATGATAAGAACCGCGAGCTTACCATGCATATTAACCAGTATTTGTACAGATTCCGACAAGATTCGCTCATTTCCGTAATTGTCAATGGCGATTTTAGCTGCTTGCGATTACAGTGGCCATTGTGGAGGGCATCGCAAGAGTAAAGGCCGATTTCTCAGCCTACTCGGTTCAGCAAGTTCTAACAGATCCACACTCACCGCAGGTATCAGTGTAGTTGGTCTTGCTGAATGCCAACTATATTCTCTCGCATGATTTCTCAGTCTAGGAACCTGAACTTGTGCTCGTTGGCAGTGTCAGAAGACATTGACTTTGAATGGATCAGCGAATGCCATTATCAATTCCTTAACTTCACCGAGGAAACGGAACTGTATCGTTTTATTGAGTTTATGCTCTGGAACATACTGGTGCCCAAATAGATGAAAGCGGTGATGATCCTGAACCACATAAATGGTTCATCAGTGGCACAGAGAAACGTAAAAAAATAGAAATTGTAGAGAAACTGTACTCACTAAACATAAATGTTTATGACTGCTTTAGGCACGTCGTACGTTGCACCTCGTCAAATTCACCTGATTTCAGAAGTGCTGGCACGGGGACGCCCTACTGTAGCCTAAGCGCGTTTACGACATGTAATTGCGCGTTTACAGCAGCCACAGTTTACTGATTTGCTTGAAAAAATGCCTATTAAAGTGTTTATACTACAATTGATCTCCCCTACTAATCATATTTAAATCTGCATATTTAAACCACAACAGTCCAGTATCTTAATGCTCTAACATGAGACAAGATGCCCAATGCACCTCGCTACCTGTGTGATGGTCCGCAAACCTATTGCCATTAGCTTACCAAGGTGTCAATCGTCTCTGCTGCTATGAATAGCGAAATTACAGTAAACATGAGAGCTGCTTCGAAAGACTTCATCTACCTAGCACATACAGTAATTAGACCTATAGAACTTTACCAAAAACATGCAAAAGTTCATCATTTGTTTTGCAGACAACTCAGACACGACCAGAAAAACATTCCATCATGTAAAGACTGCGAAAATGTTTTACATTCTCTCTTTATCCCATTAATCTAAGTCACTAATCAATACAAGCCCGTAATTTTCTTTTTCTTTTCCTACAGGGCACGCCTCTACTGTTCGTTTGCCCAGGTCGTTTGCAATACAATTATGAACTTCAAGTCTGTGACTATCCGGAACGAGCCAATTGTTTCGAACTCCAGCAGTACCCTGAACAAGTGACAACATATCTCCCTGTCGCTGCGCCTGAAGCTAGTCATGTGCATGTGGAGGAAAATCCAGAACCAGAGGACAAAGCAGCTCCTCAGCCTACACAAGTGCCAGAAGAGATCACTCCAGAATCCCAAACAAAGCAACCTAAGGCAGCAGTAGAGTTCCAATTGCATTCCACGCATGTGCCATCTGAGTGGCTAGATACTCCAATACAAGCACGTTCCAATGACAAAGGTGTCAAAGCAGGGACGGGGCCTGCTGAGTCACTCGGTACACCACAGCCACAGCCTTTCCAAGAAGAAGATCAAAAACGTGATGACAACGGAAGTGCCTTAGCATCAATGGATGAGACACCTACAGCCTCCGCACTCCAGCCACAACCGACAGAAAATCCAACCGAACAGGAGCCACAAGAAAACGTTGCGTCATCTGTGCCTACGGACGGCCAAAATCTCCTCATAGTGTCTGCACCTGACTCGCAGCAGAAGCCTTCGCGACAGAAGACTGAACTTAAACGTGATCCAGAAGCAAGTGAAGATGCTACTCAACTTTATCAAGAACTAGAGCCCACTAGTGAAGCAAATGCGATCGTAACTGCTTTGAAGCCACAGTCAGAGAAAACGCCCGCTGTGATAAAAGAGAATGCACACATTGTTATTGACCAAGTGGAAACTGGAGGCGAGCAAGAACGACCGTTGTCTCACACATCCCCTTCTCAAACGCCCGAGCCACTTCCCACAGATGAACAAGTAGCACCAGAACCAGCGCTGCCATCAGATGACATTCAATCCCAGTTAACCGACGCTCAACGCGTGGAACTAAAACATACAAATCAACAAGAAGAACATGAGTTACAATCTTCAAATCAAAAGTCTGAAGCCGTTGATGACACGACACAAGCAGAATTGCAGCAAACTGTGTGGAAGGCACCAGAGTCATCGGCAACCGAACCAGAGCCTACTGCCGCAACAGTAAAGTTCGAGTCGGAGGACACGGAGGAGCTCGCCGAATCCTCGCGTCAGCTTTCTGAGATTGTAGAGGAGCAACAATCCTCACGTGACATAACAAAGTTGGATTCTGTGACCGTTGCGGCATCTGGGATAGAACCGGCAACTTCTGAAAAACCTCTGGAAGGTCCATATGAACTTACAGAAAAGCCTCATGAGCCAGAAAAAACAGAAGAAGAACCGAAACTTGAGCCTCAGACAAAACAGGTGGCAGTTGAATTAGAACCAGCAGCCACAGAGCATGCAATAACACTGGCACCGGACCAAAGTGAAACCCAAGCGCAGCTGGAGCTCACGCAGCAATCTGAATTAAGCCTCAATGAAGATACACCAAAAATCGCTGATGATGCTTCCAACACAGAAGAATCTGTCACAGAGCTTGGCCAGCCTGAACCAAAGCCAACACCAAAATCAGCCGAGATCCAGGCACAGACTACAGAACAAGCTAAGGAGCCGAAATCAGCGCCGGGGATGGAACCCCTTGAATCAGAATCAACAGAAACGGCTGTAGAGCAGGTGGTTTTAGCAAATGATCTTTCATCAGAATCGGGGTCAGAACCTCGAGTGCAACTCGATGATACACTTGAGACAATCGATCATCCAAGGACAGCCCTGACGGAAAACCCTGTTCACACGAAGCCCTTGTCAACTGCCTCAAATGATGAGGCTGATAAAGAAGGCATGGAAGAGATCGCAGTTAAGTCTGCAGTTACAGAAGCAGATTCTGCGCCTTTTAAAAACAAAGTATACATTACTACTATAAAACCTGAATCTGAGCGTGATCAGCAAGATGATTCAAGTGCCATCGGATCAAGTACTCTAGGGGAGAATACAGCTTCACAGCCAAGCGATGCATTTGCTGCGGGATCCGAAACATTAGCTACTACCAATGCGGCAGAGCGTGTTCCTGGAGTTTCCGAGTCAACGCCTAAAAGCTCCGCCAGACTCTTAATTGATGACAGCGTGTCAAACGTGGACAACCCTAAAGGGGAAACGGAACAGCCTCCACAAATCGATGATGTAGATGCAGCGTACGAAGAAAAAATACGAAGTGATGCTGTAGAGATCGACTACTATAGTTGAATGCTAAAGCGCAGCACAGCTTGTATGACGCAGGTTAACAGAAACGACCTATTTCATGCGTCTTCTACTTTTTACCGTTTTACCTCAATCTTATTTATTTAAGAAGGGACAATATTAAACTCGAAAAAAGTGTACATTGAGTTGCTTTGATGGTAGAATGTGTATGCGTTGAATAAAGGCTTATCAGTCGAATAGAAAGAGAAAAAGAAATTTTTCTCGCCGAAACAGCGTTCTGAGTGAAACCATGCTGAAAAAAATTTTGACCATGCACATATCGCCGCAATTGTCTTGGTCGCAGACATCATGTTGTGGCCAGACTACAAGAGCATGGAACGGCTTACATCGCCGTTTCAAGTAAGTTGGTACAGATATTTATCGTGATCAAACACGCACCTTTATTTTTTTGTTGCTGATTTAGTCACAGCATAAGTGACAGTGCGCCATTCCACTTGCTTAACAACAGACGTATGTTCGTTGAAACGTCTTCCCATATCCTTTTGAAATATTTGCGGCCCCATTGCCTCTACGCAATGAACATAAACGGTACACATGTAGGATAAAATCAAGTACTATGGGTTGTTAATATCACTCAGGCCACTTTCTTAGCTAAATGTCGGAAACTTGCGTACTTCAATAAGAACGCGAGTTTGATAAAAAGTTAAGAAAGTTTGCTGCATGCAACTTGACAACTGTGAAACCCATCGTTAACACGGCACTAAGCGGGTGAAACAGTGAAAACTGGAGAAATATTAAACACAAAGAAAATAAAGATTAAGTGTACTGTTCAATTATCGCACTATCACCCGCTCATACTGGCCGAACACTGAAGAATTCGTCTTCTGCAGCGAGCAGAATTCTCCTGCCACCGAAACACACAGCGTTCGCACCGGACGTGCCCCACGCCGCCGAATGTACTATCTACCTCGGGGCGAACGTACTGCTTACTTGCTTGAAAGCCGCTGTCTTGCAATGCACGGTGAGCACAAACGACTCCCAAGCATTTCCCGGAGGGTGAACATGGTTAAGTGCGAATACACGGGGTGATGCTATGAGGGGTATTTATTAATTTGCACTATTATATTTATTAAGCAAACTATGGTGCCATTACGGTGTAACGGTTCCTGGGAATCGCAATGTGATCACACGGGGGAGTTTACGTTAACTCACTGGCGAATGCCAACGGATTTTAACTTTACTCCCCCTCACGACCCGCTCTCGACGGGAGACTGAGAGAGAAGGCGGGCGCGCGAGAGAGAGGGGCGCGCGCGCAGCTGCAGCGAGCGAGCAGAGCGGAGGAGCGAGCGAAGGGGGAGGGGGTATAAGGTGTGTTACTGACACTGATATCAGCGTCGCGTCCGTGGCTTATTCGGTAGAGCATCGCGCTGCGGCCCGCCATGTCCTCTCTTTTAAAGATAGAGAGAAGACTGCGGACACCGCCGACGGCGTTGGATGGTTTGCGGTCGCTTATAAAGTGTATTCACACTTTAAAATCTTCGACGCCAGCGGCGTTGGTAGGATTGTCTTGCTCTGCAAGACTGTGAGAAGCTCGGTCACGCCAACTGCTACCTCTACCACGAGACCGGGACGTGAAGTAGGCTACTGCAAAGAGCGGATGACACTCCCGTTGGTTACAACTTTCAGTTGCGTGCACTGCGCCATGTCAAGCGAGTCGGGCTTGCCCAGCATTTTTAAAAAAAAAATTCATTGAACAAGGCTCTTATCGCTTCGCGGCGAGCGATTCGGCGGCAGACACCACGAAAACTGGGCCGACAGCAATCGGCGGGGAGGGGGCCCTTTCGGCAGATCTCGGCACTACCGAATCGGATTCAGTGCCGTTTCGGTGGCCGGAATGCTTAATGTGAGCTAGTCATAACAGTGCGGATGACGTATGCTCTCGGGCGCTGAAGTAGGCCGTAGCAGACCGTGGTCGTCACATGGCGCAACGCTCCATGTACAGCCTATCTAGTGCGCGCTAGCGCCAAGCAGAAGTGCTTCTTTTATTGAAATAAAAAATCAACACCTAAGTTGTCATTACTTGCTGACGGCTACCCCTTCTCACTTGATTGTTACGAATGAAGAATGAAGACACAAAATAACAAACATGCATATACAGTCCTACACCAGTGAGTCCAGAAGTTCTCAGTTTGGGAAGACTAAAATATATCCGTAATGAACACTTTCAGTCTCGTCCGCTCAGTACTGACCACCAATTTCGGTGTATTCGTAAAAACTTTGCAGCAATTTCATCGCTTTGCAGTTTATTCTAGATGTGCAATGGCCTATAGTATTTTCTCCAACGTAACGGTTCCATCGCAACCTAGTGTGCAGAGGTCTTGTTCGAGTTTCTATCAGTATGCGTCGTGTTTCAGACAGTTGAGCAGTTAAAAGGTGATATACCTCTTCGTCCTAATGGCCGCTCGAATATACTGACGTTTTTATACGCTAAAATCCAAAATAAATATTGCTTTGTGTAAGCAGTTCAAAGTGCTAGGCGATGTATGAGGGCGTCGATACGCCTTGAAAGATGAGAGCCTGATTAGTCCTCGGGATTAGGAGAAACAAAACAAAAGAGAACGTGCCTACAACTGGAAGGTGAAAGTCTAAACCACTCGGCAATAGAGCCATTGAGCAGAGTGCAGCATAGCCGTGTAAGTTCTATTATAGTGAAATGTTAAGGAAGAGAAATGAGTTTGGTTGAGGAGGACAGATTTGGCTGCGACGCTGACGAGCCGTTAAAGGAGGACGTACGAACGACCACAGGGAGTAGGAAAGGAAATATGTAGAAAGAAAACCAAAGAGGGAGGTACCCGGAATGAAAGAAAAATCAGAAGTGGGAAAACCACTGCAGGTAAAAGCACAAAGAAAAACAGTGACAGGAAAAGGGAAGATAGAATGAAATGGGAAAAAAAGAAAAAAAATTCGAAAGCCTACGTGCGAATCAGTTTCATGCGAAGCAGCGAGATAGTAAGAGCCGGTGCTGCAACTTTCAGGTTTTCAGCTTAACACTAGAAGTGCTTAAAGCATTTACGTGCCATGCATTTCAGCGTACTCGATGTGGACGCCATAGGGTTCCTACAATTTTACTAGAGGGAATTCTGGCACCGCAATCGTTCCACCATCATGCGAATGATTGGTGGTGTGCCGATTTGCCACATCTTCGTGTTGGCGGCTTCGAAAGCACTTGTGGGTTCATTTATTGTTGTGATTTGGCGTTAATATCAGGTAACAGTAAGAATCCTTGTGAACTCTGTGAGGCGATTTGTAATGGTTGGTCTAAAGAGGTTACGATGGTTACACGAAGTAGAACTCGTGCACTTGCCGAACTTTGCCTTGCGACAAAGCACGTGCAGGTGACAGAGCCTCAAATGTAGCCGAAGGAATGAGAATTAGACCAATCTGTGTACCACCCATCATTTTTTTTGCGTTGCAGCTCCCATAGACACTAGCGCCGAAGTTTCCTCTGGCGCTAGTGGACCACCGTGGCGTGGATTTTACGGGTACCACAGCTGACCCATTCTGCTGTGGAACTGTCTGCATTATCGACAAGGCGACAAAGATTGTTGTATAAAAACTTTACTGCAATATTGAAGACAGTTAACAGTAGTACTAATAGTAGTAGTAGTAGTACCTTATCTACAATAAGACAATACCGAGGTAAATGCAGGGGCCAGGGCTGAATGCAGACAACCTGACCAATTCCCTGCCCCTCCGCAGTTCGTGGTAGTTTATTAGCTGTGACATGAGCAAAGAAAAAAAAGTCCATACGTTGACTTGAGAGAAAGAGACAACAAGACCTGCAAACGTACATATTGTGATGTAACGGTGAAGGCAACCTTTATTAGGCCCAGAAGACACGGTGAAGTGACCACATCCAAGGCACAGAACTCAGACAAGCCAAGTCACCACAGCAGAAGATGATGACCACTCATGATGATGAATATGTGTAAAGATAGTAGATGTGCTTAATGAATGCCTACACTAACTTCCCCCCTACGTGAAAGCGGTCGTCCTGACCGCAGTTCTTGGCCGCAGTTTGAAGCGAGGATGAACGCCGTATGAAAGGCTTCATGCGGGATACGTGGACTATTTCTGCTGCCCTGTAGCGGCGGTCCGTCGGAAGAAGAACGGGTGCCACGCGATAAGTCACAGGAGACGTTTGCTCCAAGACAGTGTAGGGGCCAATAAAACGTAATTGAAACTTCTTGCACAGTCCGGGAGTGCGAATGGGTGTAAGAAGGAGGGCTTCGTCACCAGAGCTGAAAAACACGGCACGACGAGAGGCATCATATTCAAGCTTGCGATCCTGTTGCTTGGCTTCAGTGTTGACGCGAGCCAGCTGGCGGCAATGAAGTAGACGAGACACGTATTCTTCAATCGAAGATGAACATGGTTTGACAGGCGCAGAGAAGAACGAAACATCGAGGAAAGAAGAGGGGAAGCGATTGTGGACGATGTAGAACGGCGAGTAACCGGTTGTGCGCTGTACAGAGGTATTATACGCAAAAGTGACAAATGGCAAAATGGTGTTTCAGTTTCCGTGGTCGGGTTCGATATACATCGCTCTCATACCTACAGTGTACGATGAAAGCACTCAGTCAGGCCGTTCGTCTGAGGATGGTAACTGGAGCTTGTTTTGTGTGTAGTGCCGGATGCCTTGAGCTCTTCTTCGACGAGCTCTGAAAGAAATACTCTTCCACGGTCGCTCAGGATTACACGAGGAGCTCCGTGTCGTGCTTGAAGGATGAAGTCGGTCACTTCCGAAGCTGATGCAGAAGGCACGGGAGCTGTTTCGGCGTAGCGGGTCAGGTGGTCGACAGCTGTAACTATCCATCGATTGCCCGTCACAGTCATAGGAAGCGGTCCATACAGGTCAATGCCAACTACCTAGAATGGTTGCAGGGTACACGGGAGCGGTTGTAATGGTCCACTTCGAGTTGATGTAGGTATAGCTTGCGACGCTGACAAAGCGCGCATGAGGCAACGTACTTCGCGACACAGGTGGACAAGCTCGGTCAGTAGTAGTGATATCTTATGCGGTCATACGTTTTCTGGAAGCCCATGTGTCCAGCAGACATGTCGTCGTGATATGTTGAATTGAATTGAATTGAATTTTATTCATCAAGCGTGAACATGGAACATGGAAAAGTGCATGGGTACAGATTCACTGGGAGGTCCCAAGGTAAGAACCGCAGGCGGGACCTCCCATGATGAAAAAAAAAGGTAAT